AAATGGCCAAAGAAGTAAGAGTCTTCGTCTGTCTATAAATTAACCCAGGTTAGCTCTCCAGCAACCATTTCTGCTGGGAGGTGGGGTGGGAATCAATCTTCCTATTCCGTGGAAACTCCATTGACAGTGTTTTACTTTCCCTGTTCACCTCCCCATTCTCCTTCTCCCTGAAGTATTCTGATATTCTTCCTGGGACAGGAGAGGCATATGGTCCCAAACCGCCATGCACCTTGGCCAGTGTCCCAGCTGGAGCCTGGTGCAGTCCGTTCCTGCAGTCCCAGGCAACAGCACGTGAGATCCGGCGCACGTTCCTGGCTCAGCCAGCAACTCACCCTTGCTGGACCTTCTAACCCTCTACCCTTGAGTCTCACCCAGTCTCTGAGTTTCCTATCATTTTCTCTAGCCCTGTCCGTCCCCTCCCCAAGTGGGTGTGGAATCCAGAGGCCAGACGGTGGGACCCTAACCTAGGCTCTATGCCGCTCTGCTCCTGGGTCACATCCTCTAGACCAGACGAGGTCATATCCTGGGGAAAGTGCTCTCTATCACACATTCTGTGATTCAGGATATAAATTTGACGAAGAGGGAGTTGGGGGCACCTACTGGGAATTACAAGGCATAAAAAAATACTTCAGCTAATTTTTAAAAAATATGATCCTACTGCAAACATTTATCTTGTCTCCATCTATTATGGAATGCAAACATTCACCACACAAAGCAGAGACAAAGTTAACATCTGCTTTGCCTATCGCCTTGCTGCCCTGCCCAACCACTCCTCCTCCCTTCCTCCTCCTCCTCCCGCTGGAGGTATTTAAAAGGAAATCCCAGATATCATATCATTTCACTCTGGCCAAATTTTCAAACTCTTTGTCTAATAACTTTTCTGAGGATTTTTCCTTTGCTTGTATCCCATGTGTTTTCCCATGAAGCATTCACACTTTGTTGAGTCGGTTATTGTATTTTTATTTGGTCCTGGAGTTAATGTATATGGAAAAGTAGGTCTTAGCTTCCAAGTACTTAAAATGTCTGGTGTTTACAGTGTCTGAATTGTACTTAGTTAATTTCATGGACTCAAAAGATGAATTTCCTGTTATTCTATCTTATTTGTTAACTGTGCCTCAATTATTTTGTTAAAATCTTGTATGTCTTTATTATTTTACCCACTCAATGTCTGACAGACTGTTACAATTTTCTACTAACTGTATCTGTCCATTACTTTTATAAGTCTAAATATTTTTGTTGTATATATTTTGTTGCTATATGTTACAGGTTTAATTTACTGTCACTGCCAAATTCGTATGTTGAAGTCCTAATCCCAATGCCTCAGAATGAGACAGTATTTGGGAAAAGGGGCTTTATAGAGATAATCAATTTGAAATGAGGTCATTAGTGTGGCCCTAGTAAATATGATTGTTAAAAAAAGGGAAAAATTGGAGGCAGGCACACATAGGGGAGAAGACCATGTCAAGATGAAGACACTAAAAAGACCATGTAGCCCTAGCCAGTTTGGCTCAGTGGATAGTGTCGATCTGCAGACCGAAGGGTCTGGTTCAGGGTTGGATTCCAGTAGAGGCCAATGACTATGTGGGAGGCAAACAATCGATGTCTCTCTCTCCCCCCTCCCTTCCACTCTCTCTAAAAAATCAACAACAAAAAGAAGACAATGTAAAGAGTCAGGGGAGAAGATGGCCATCAGCAGGCCAAGGAGAGAGGTTGGAGCAGAACCTGCCCTGGCAGCCTTCAGAGAAAACCAACCCTGAGACACCTTCAGACTTCATTCTCCAGAACAGTGAGAGAATACTTCGTTGTTTCACACTGTCGTTTGTGGGACCTTGTTACGCAGCCCTACGACACTAATACACTGTACTATTCTACCATGGTTTATGTAACGTGTCTTCACTATCCTATATATGCAAATTGACCGAACAGTGGAATGACCAGTCGGCCGGGGGCGGGGCCAGCAAGGGGGAGGTGCCAGGCCAGCCAAGGTGGGTGCCAGTGGGCAGAGGGAGGGGACGGCGATGGGGGAGGGGGAGCCCCAGCAGCGACTGGTGGTGGCAGAGGGGCAATTGGGGGGGGGCGGGGGCGGCTGCTCACCAGCCTGCGCCTCCCACAGGTCGCCTCCCGCAGAGGGAGGTCAGACTGTGGCTTAGGCTCACATCCCCCGAGGGCTCCTGGTCTGCAAGAGAGTGCAGGCCAGGCTGAGGGACCCGCAGAATGCATGAATTTTTGTGCACCGGCCTCTAGTCAGTTGGTAAAATAACCCTGGTTCCTTTTTTAAGTCACCTTTGACAGTAACATTGTACCCCTGCTTGATTTTTAGTCTTTTATTTTTAAAAAAATATTTTTATTGATTTGAGAGAGGAAGGGAGAGGGAGAAAGAGAAATAACATCAATGATTCGAGAAAATCATTGATCGGCTGCCTCCTGCACACCCCATACTGGGGGTAGAGCCCACAACCTGGGCATGTGCCCTTGACTAGAATCGAACCCGGGACCCTTCAATCCACAGGCCAGTGCTCTACCCACTGAGTCAAACCGGCTAAGGCTACTCAGTCTTTTAATGAAGACCCTGTGGCCCTTGCTGTAAGTTCAGGTGTTTGTTGTGCACACGCGTGTATCATGGTGATTGCTGACTGCGCTGTGAGCACTGGAATCAACGTGGGCGGCTGCCACTTAGTTGTGGCCTGGCCTTGGATGAGGATGGCACTCTTTTTGTGTCTCGGTGTTTTCCTTTTGTAAGGTAGGGGAATAGTAATGATAAGGTTGTTGTGAGGATAGAATAAATTAAAACATTCAAAATGCTTAGAGCAGTGCCTGGCCCACACGTCATTGATAAACACATGAGCTGCTATGAATCCTGTCAACTTCCCTGAGATGGAGGTACTATAAGGTCATTTTACAGATGAGGGTAACTGAGGCTCAGAGAAGTCAAGTCAGGAAGCTCGTGTTGCAGGCTGGGTTGCCAGGAGGCAGGCCTGAGGTAGAGGTCCAAGTGGAGGAAGTACATTCGGGGTGCTCTCCAGGTCAACAGGTGTGGAGGGTGGCGGTGAAGGAAGCTGGGTTAGGTTGGGCAGAAGGAAAGGTTGAACTGTGACGCGATCGTAACAAAGTTCTCCAGTGGGAGTGGAGTGGTTCAGTTTTGATGCTCCTTTCCAGGGGCGGAGCCGAATTCCCCTTCCCTTGGGTGTGGGCTGGATTCAGGGACTCCCTTCTAACGACCAGAAGAAAAGTGAACAAGAAGTCAGAGCCTTGGCCATACAAGGGCCTGCTGGCTGTCGCCCTGGGATCGCCTGGTCTGGAGAAGTTAGCTGCCACCTGAGGGGGCTCTGCAGCGGCCAGTGGAGAGTCCCGCACGGCGAGGAACCAAGGCCTCCAGCCAACAGCCATCTTGGAAGTGGACCCTACAGCCCAGCCCAGCCTTCAAATGCCTGTGGCCCGAACGTTCTGACGGTAACCAACTGAGACCAAGAGCAATAACCCCGGTTGAAGCCGCAACTATTTTCCTGACCCACAGACACCAGGAGACAGTGTCTCCTGTTTTCAACTGCTAATCGTGAGGGTCATCTGTTATGCACAACAGATACTAATACAGGGACCTTTGGAGCTGGAACCGTCCCTCAGCGTTGTCCCAAACTCAGGTGAGGAGGAGAGGTCTTCATGTTGACTGCGTTCATGAGATGTGGCTTGACCCTCTAGAAGGGACCATGACCTTGGGCAAAGCAGCGATCCTCAGCTGAGGGTAAGTTTCTGAAGAATGACTGAGCTGAAAGCTGTTGAGACCAAACTCTGAGCAGCTCGGGAGCATGGCCTTCAGTCCTGAATACAGGCCTTGGGGGAGTGTCACAGCCTCCCCCAAAAGACCTTCAGTGAGACCTACTGTCCAGGAGCGCTCGCTTACAGCTGAAAGCAACAGGCACAGCGCCGTTTTCTAACGAAAGGTGCCTACAATCGACTTGCCGCAGGCTGAGTAAGAAGATGCGGATGTAGCCCTGTTTCCACCAAACATTCCCCCTCCTCTCCTTTTCGGTCTCTCCAAGGATGCAGGGGAGGAACGAAAGGAGGCAGTTGGCCTTGTGGAGAGGAGTGTTTCTGGTGGGAAGTGATGGAGAAGAGGCTGTAGAATAGCCTCTCCTGTCAGTGGGACCTGCTGGAAGGAGAGGCTGGTACTCCATCCCCTGCTTGCCTATGTGTCTAGTCAGCATGCTTGCTATTTATTCCTATCTGTATTCCATGAGGGAGCAAGATTCAAGACAGAGCCCGGCTGGTGTGGCTCAGTGGTTGAGCATCGACCATGAACCAGGAGGTCATGGTACGATTCCTGGTCAGGGCACATGCCTGGGTTGCGGGCTCGATCCCCAGTGTGAGGTGTGCAGGAGGCAGCTGAGCAATGATTCTCTCTCATCACTGATGTTTCTACCTCTCTCTCTCTCTGAAATCAATACAAATATGTAAAAAAAAAAAAAAAAAGACAAGATGACAGAATGGAGAGGAGAGGCCATGGGGCACGCTCCAGTCCAGCTTTTCGTGTGGCAAGAATGTGTATTTCTCATGAGTCACATGGACTCTGGAGAAGATAAATGGTCTTGCTGGACCCTCACCCAGGAGATGGGGGATAGTACTGCTGTGTGCTGGCAATGGGATGATGGGGAAAAAAATCAAGCTGGGGCTGAATCTCCCATTAAAACTATGGAGAGAAGGACCCCCAGGCCTTCTTATATGTGCCCCATGAAAGCAGTTCAAACAAGGGCCAGTAATCTGGAGAAGCAGGTATCCGCTGAGAACTGCAGCACCGGCCAGTTAAGAGATACTGGCTTCCATACAGCACCCAGGCCTTGAAGAAAACATGGAGGAAGTGTCCGAGAGCCAGAGCCATGCCTTGCCCCTTCTCACCCTAAGGATCTCAGGTCCCACTCTGACACGTTCTGATTTTCAGTAACTGACATTGACCAGAAAGTTCCAGTATCACCAAGGTGTAGTTAAGGGATGGAAAACAGCAGTGATTGCAGAAAAGTTGTTTTATGTTTGGAAGTCTTCACACACCAGGATGGCAAAACTGATTATACTGATAACGGCTGGAACAAAGTTCTCTGCACGGCACCAGCATCCCATAAAGACTGCGTACAACCGACAGAGGTGAGTGAAATGGGGCACACCTGCCCTCGAGGAACAGGAAACGGGCTCCGGTAAAGCGAGCATAAAGCAGGTCTGCTGAAGCAAAAGGCTAGCCACTGTGGATCCTGGTTCCATTTCCTGTTTCCTTGTATTGTCTACTGAGGTTGGAAAGGATGGGTGAGACTGGTGGAGAGGGATCCATTTCTTGAATTGCAAATAGACAGACTGAGATGACCAAGTCCCTAATGAATTGTTTCAGATTTGCTGAGCTGGAGTTGCCAGGAAGATCGCCAGAAGCTGAAAACTGGAAGCCCTAAGGGCAGAGAGAAGCTGAAAACTGAGAACTGGAAATCGGGAAATGCCACTTGTAACCACCTTCAAAAGCAACTGCTCCGTCCCAGCGGGTCTTAGAAAATACCTTACATTCTCGAGAGGGAGGCCCTCGTGACACTAATGCATTAAGTCGTTTTGCAGAACATTTCTGTTGTAATCCTAGAAGTAATGCAGTTTAAAGCACATATCGGCACCCGGGCGTTTCAAGAAATCAGAAGCACTCCTTCAATTTACCTCTCTGCTTACTGGAGATGTCCTTGTTTAAAACATGTACAAGGGATTTTCTTTCCATAAACATAGCATGTCGCCTAACACGGCACTGCTGCCCTGCCTGGAAGCAATGCTGGCCCCAGACCATGTGACTCGCGTCTGGGTCCGCCAGCTCCGGCCGGGAATGAAGAGGAGACACGCAGGTCCGCCCGGCTTTGGTTCCCGTCGCCGCGCACGGCCGGGACCCGGGCCTGCGAGCCGCGCCTCCCCGCATTCTGCGCACCAATTTGAATATTCAACACCCCGCTCCGGGCGCGCGCAGGGGGAGTACCCACAAGTCCCCGGGCCCGACGACCCCGCGCCGCGGCCCGGAGGGAGGCGCGGTCACCGCGCTCCCCAGACCTTGGTCCCGGGCCCGGCGGCGGGGCTGGGGCCGCCGAGACACCCGTCAAGCGGCGCTTTGCAGGCCTCGAGTGCGGGGCCGCGGGCCGGACACAGGGGCGCCGGCCTTCAGAAGCCTGGGAGACAGTGGGGGAGGACTGAGAGGACGAGAGGAAGGAGACTGGGAGGGAACGCATCCCCCGGCGAACACACCTTAAAGCCAACTCACTAGTGCGGCGGCTCTGCGCGCACAGCATGACGGGAGCCTCGGCTGCCAGGCGCGGGCAGTTCCCGCGACGCGTCTCCGGCCCCGCCCCCGCCCCCGCCGCGGCGCACGCCGGGAGAGCCCGCCTTCATCCTTGTAGTAAACGGGCGAGAAGGAGGGCATTTCCGGCGTAATGACTGTTTTTAGGGAAGGGGCGGGGCTAGTCTGGTCCCGCCCCTGACGCCCGGCGGGGGCGTGACGAAGAGTGATCGTCCCTTCAGCCCGCCCCTGCGCCGGAAGGAGGAAGGCGGGGAATCGATCAGGCGTCCGGCGCGAGATCACGTGATGCAACTGCCGGCGGAGGAAAGAGGGGTGGGGCCCGTGCGGGAGGGGCGGGTCATCCCTGCTTCTCCTCGGGTCACGTGTGGCAGGAAGTGGCTCCTGCTGCAGAGTTTTCGGGATGGGGACCTCCCTGGACATTAAGATTAAAAGAGCGAACAAGGTTTATCACGCCGGGGTAAGTGGGGTGGGCGGGCCTGCAGGTTTTGTGGTTTCCAGGATTCCACGCACATCTGGGTGTCCCTGGGCGGGACGGGGGCGCGCCGCCAGCTGCCCCACCGGGAGCCCCCACCCCCGGAAGAGTGGCCGACGGGGGGCGTGCGGCCCGCGGGGCCGGCGCCGGGGCTGCGGTGCTGATCGCTGGGCTCCCTGAGCATCCGCCTCGGCCCCGGGCCCGGGCTGGAGCTGTCGCAGGGAGCACTGAGGCCTCCCTCTGCAGAGGTCTAGTGAAGAAAGGCAGAACTCACCTTCGAAACAGAAATATGCATTCAGGCTGTGGTCAGCTCTCACACTGTACAAAAGTTACTCGTTTCTCTGGTTTTATTCTTCGAATAGCATACAGAAAGAATGGCCTATTACAATGAAGTAAAAAAAAAATCTTAACTCTACCATTAAGTTCTGTGCCACTGGCCGCTCGCTTAACCTCCTGGGGCCTCAGTTTAGTATTTGCAAAATGAAACTGTCGCAAGGTTCCTCTGCCCCGGGGATTACCAACCCTTACTTTTCATCAGGATCCGTCACCGGGGGATTTTAAAATGTGATTGTCCAGGTCCCACCCCAGCCATACCAATGATTCCATTGTGCAGCCAGGGTTGAAACCCCAGTTGCTCTCACTGCGGAATAAAATTGAGAGTAGTGGTTAGTCACATGAATGCAGCTAAGTCTCACAAGGGATAGAATACAATACCAGGCAAAAGATCATGGATGGATGCTGAAAGCTTTGGGTGCAAGGGTATTTTTTTTTTTTAATAAATATATTTTATTGATTTTTTACAGAGAGGAAGGGAGATAGAGAGTTAGAAACATCAATCAGCTGCCTCCTGCACACTCCCTACTGGGGATATGCCCGCAACCCAGGTACATGCCCTTGACCGGAATCGAACCTGGGACCTTTCAGTCCACAGGCCAACGCTCTATCCACTGAGCCAAACCGCCTTCGGCTGCAAGGGTATTGGGGAAACCTGGTATTTACTCGACTCAGATAGTCACCTTAATTGCAAAGGGAAGACATGTTTATAATGAAAGGGTCTGGTAGTCATCACCCAAGTCAAGCCCCACAGTGAACACCTCACCTTACCATCACTGATGAGACTGACAGACGTTCTGGTGTAATAACAGGGTTCTGGCATGACGCACTGAGGAGGACACAACTCCCCTATGCAGTATTCCTGCCAAAAATGTCTAACCTAAATCAGTTTATAAGGAAACAATCGGGCATATCCAAAATTAGGAATATTCTAGGAAGTAATTGGTCTGGATTCTTCAAAAATGTCATCTTGCCTGGCCACGGTGGCTCAGTGGTTGAGTGTCAACCTATGAACCAGGAGGTCACCGTTCCATCCCTGATCAGGGCACATGCCCAGGTTGCCAGCTCGATCCCCAGTGGGGGTTGTGCAGGAGGCAGCCCATCCATGATTGTCTCTCATCATGGATGTTTCTATCTCTCCCTCTCCCGTCCTCTCTGAAATCAATACAGATATATATATTTTTTAAATGTCAATGTCATGAAAAAGGGAATTTTTCTAGATTAAGAGACTAAATAGACTAAACCAAATACAAGGCCTAATTTTTGATAAATAGATTTAAATGTGGACTATCTGTTAAATAATAGTTTTATATTGGTATTAAATTTCCTGAATGTGACATTCATATTTCGGTTATGTAGGAGAATACTGAAATATATAAAGGTCAAGTGCTACAATTACTAAATTTTAAATGGTCCAGCCATAAATGGTTCCTCTCTATTCCTCTCTAAAATAAAAGTATATTCAAAAGTAACGATAATAAAATATGGTACAAGTAATAAAAAGCACATTTGAAAAAGATGCAAGAAATGGAATCGTGAAGTTGACCCAGCCGAAAGTCTTACCCAGCCGGGGCCACTCCTGTGGGTGGCAGGTGAAGGTGGTGCCAGCTGTGCCATCTAGTGCATGTTCTTTGGTGCCATTATCAGGACCAGAATCTGCAGTTACTGGTTTATTGCAGTGTTTCTTAATCTTTAGTCACTTTTGCACTTAATGCATTTGACACTAATGCGATTACACTAAATACATTTTACAGGAGACCTTACATGGAGATTGTCAAAGAAAAACCAGTATAACTTCTAAATAGATGGTTGCTATATATTTTTTAAAATATGTTTTTATTGATTTTTTAGAGACAGGAAGGAGAGGGAGAGAGAGAGAGAGAAACATCAACGAGAGAGAAACAGCAATGTCGATCAGCTGCCTCCTGCAATTCCCCTACCTGGGATCCAGCCCGCAATCCGGGCTGCCCTTATCTGATTTGAACCATGACCTCTTGGTTCATGGGTCAACGCTCAACCACTGAGCCACACCGACTGAGCTATATGTATATATTTTAAAAGCAAAAAAAAAAAAACTTAATCTGATTAGTTGACAAAAATATACCCCTTGACATATGTGCCTGTGACTCACGTGTTAGACTTACAGTCTGTGATTCAGGGCAGGTGGAGTAGGAGGCCAGCACTGTGCTGGCTGCTTCCTAAGCTCCAGGCGGCAGGACCTCTGCCGGCTCGTCCCGTGATGAGGTCTCAGTGCCTTTGGACGGTGCATGTTTCGAGTGTAGTCTGCACCATGGTTGTGCGCAGCGTGGCCTTTCTTGCCCACCCTCCCTACTCAGGTGTCTGCAGGTGGAACTAACAACCTACTGGCTTTCCGTCTTCTCTGTACACCTCAACAGCACTGCTGAAGGTTCACTTCCTGAAGATCTGACTCATCGGTGGCATGGCCAGACCCTGGAACTCTCATGGTTTGCTTGAAGTGGCTGCCACCTATGTTGGCCTGTTCGTTAGGTCATAGGTGATGGTTATAGAAGCGAGCCGTGTTTGTCCATGTCACCAGCCAGAACAGTCTGGTGTGTGGCTTTGTCAGCATCGCTCCCGCTTTACCAATGAGGAAACCGAGGCTCACACAGGTTGAGGAATTTGCCCAAGGTCACAACTCACGAGAGTCAGTGTCAGCTCGTCAGTCAGATTTCAGAGCGTGTCCATCCAGCACTACTGTGCCTCCTCCCTAAGAGTGGCCCTGTTTATGCAGAAGGACACATTCTTAATGTAGAAATAGTTGTTATTAATTTCCTAAGAGTGCTATGAAAAGCATTGCAATATTTCAATAAAAACTGGTATGACGTCTACTCAGATGATTCTGTACCGTGTTTAGAGTATCTTAGTTGCGGAAGCATTTGAAAATGGCTTTGGTTCTGTTTGTCACCAGAGAACTTAAGTTATGCTTGGATTTAATATTGACATTTGGGTTTTTCCCTAGAAAAGGATGCTCATTCACAAAATGATGGAGTTTTGTTGTTGTTGTTTTATCACAATTGAATAATTTTTAAAAATATAAACACATGTGCCAAATTAACAACTTAACATTTTACAGAAGGCTGGAAGTGAGAGGTTAAGTCTTTTCTTCCTCTTGCTGACCCTCTTTTCTGTCTCTGGGTATCCACTGAGACTTGTTTACTATTCCAGACATTTCTTATGAATAGCAGGTGTACATGTGTACACACACACACACACACACACACCTTGTTCTTTTCGCTTAACAATGTGTCTTTGTCTTGGATGCCTTTCCTTATTACATCTTCATCAATCTCATTCTTTTTTTCTATTGTAACTTAATCAAAACAAATCCATTCAACCAATGTTTATTGATCTCATGAGGCCTACAGGCCAGTAGAGAAAGAGATAAATGCGGAAAACAAAAGATAGATAAGTACGGATCAAGTGCATGTCTGAGATGTGAGGGGCACAAAGCAGGTGTAGTCATTTCGGGGGAAAGGGAGCTGGGCTTCATTGAGGTGACCATGCTTGAATCTGGTTTTGAAGTCTACGTTTTCTCTGTACATCTCTGCAGCATTGGTACAGACTCAGTTCCTGACGGTTTGGCGCATCGGTGGCAAGCGCAGTACCTGTAATTTGTGTGTAACGTGCACATGTGATGTCTTCTCCCGGAGAGTCAGTCCCTCCCATTGAGTCTGGGAACTTGACTTGTGTTTCCAGAGCCCCACGGACGGTATGATGCAGTCAGGAGTGTGATAAAAATTCCCTAATTCCAGATTTCCAGCCAAAGTTGTGATTTCCCAATGAGAGGACTTAACATTGTTTTACAATAACGTAAACTAGCATAGCCCTTTCCAGCTCCCAGTGCTTCCATCCTCACAGATCCTGAAGGGGCGGCATTTCCCTCATGTTATTATTGGAAAGACTGAGGCGCAGAATTCAGTGACATGCAAGAGCACCGATGGGAACAGATGTTTGAAATCGTGTCCTTTTATCTGAAGTGCAGGACCCTGTGCCTTCTCTGGGTCTCAGTTCTCATCTGTGGGATGGAGGTGATGCCCACTCAGAGGGTTTGTTGTGAGAATTAAATGAGATTGTGTTTTAAAACATTTATTATAGAGCACAAATTGCCAGTCATAAAACAGCCACAGGGATGCAAGGTACAGCATAGGGAATATACAGTCAATAATACTGTAATTCCTACGTATGGTGCCAGGTGGGCACTAGACTTACTGGGGTGATCACTTTGTAAGGTGTGTAAATGTCTAGTCACAATGTTGTACACCCAAAACTAATACAACATTGTATGTCAACTGTTCTTGAAAAATAAGTTTTTTAAGAGACATTAATTATAGGTTCTGACTCCAGTGGTAGGGGGTAGAGGTACCATTAAGCTTTTCCACGATGTCTTTTCACACCCGGTGTTAATTAAGTTGTTATGTACCCCGCACATGGCACAGAGCTTCTCAGATGTTGTCCAGGTGTTTGGATGTCCCTTCATGGTGGACTTGGAGGAAGGAGGGCCAGTGACCGGGGCGATCAGATGGATGACTGCATGGTTGGCACTGACGCTGACTGTGGGTTGGGGTTGCTGTGTGCTTCTTTGCTTGGCGCAGTAGATGTGTTCTTGACCAAAGAGTTTGACTTGGATGCGT